ACCAGCTGACTGTGACAGTCACAGGTGTTGTTGATAGTTGTTTTGTTGCCTCTAAATTATCTAATTATACACTCTAAATTCTATATGCCATTTGAAAGATGTCTTGGTGAACTAGTATATAGTTTCTGGGGTTTCTGTTAGTTAGTCGGTCGTGTGACACAGGGGTGTTGAGAAGGTCTTTCATAGGCCTTTCCTAAGGCCTTTGGCCTTTCTCCCTGGACCCACTCCGTGTTTGGAATTGCAGACTTCCCCAACAGATCCGACCAAAAGGTGGAAGTGTGCCTTTGCAACCTTTCCCTGACGTCACAAGACTCTGCAAGAAGGTTTACCTTCCCAAGCCAGTGAGGTTGAGTGGGAAAAAAAGTGCCACACAGCAACCCAGCGAGAACTGCAGGACACGTGCACTTGCAGCTCAGGAACTTGTTCAGACATTGGATCATTGGATGTTTGGTTTCAAAGATCTGCCCGAGGTGACAAGTCACCCAGGTCACCAGTGGTGTGGAACTTCTGGTTTCTTTGTTCATAGTTTCACGCACTTTTGTCGCGACGTCAATCAGTCCTCGCACTGCTCATGGTTGTCTCCCTGAAGTCTGGGCACCAGACATACCAGAAAGCAAGAAGGAAGTGCCAAAATTTGATGAGTGATGTGTTCTGAGCCAGCTGTTTCTCAACCAGTTCAAGAAACCGTTTCAATTGGATCAGTTGCTCTACTGTTTACTCGGCCATGAGCTTCTTCCAGAACAAGATTCATCCACGGCTTCTCTTTGCTGCCATAAGCAAGCTGCATTTCGTGCGTTTCCGTTATGTCTCCCTCGCAGGTCACAGATTTCTTGCTCATCGCCGTGCGTGATCTCTTGGCCGAGAGGCGAGCCATGAAGTAGTGGGAGATTAGCAGGGAGAGAAGCAAAATACAGATGTTACTGTATACTGTATACAATTATATTGTATATTGCAAGTAAACAGAAGAAAAGCCGGGAGGAAAGCTCAGACATCGAACTTATACAAACATATCACATACGTACTGTACGTGTATGTTATGTTTTATTGTATTATTACCAATATACATTGTTTTTAAAGATTCTTCTGAAAACCTCAGTCACAAGCCCACGATCAAGACAGGTTCCACCAAATCTTCTTCCCAGTAACTTCCGTCCTGGTTTTTGGGTGCCAAGCTGCAGGCAGTGGGGTTAAGCCGATGAACTCGTGACGGATGATAATGGCATATTCAAAAAGCAATTGGCAAGTGAGGTGTATGGCAGTGTATAGCTGGAGTTGGGCCAGATTTGGCTGTGTAGAATGGTCAGACTTGGAGACTCTTGATTCATTCGTTTTCGTTGGTCAGAACTTTTGTCGGCAGGCCTGACCTACGCAGCATCCCTGGCTCCGGGAAAAGAGTGATTGCAAGCTGTCAAAGATTCTGCAACAGACAGATCTTCAGATTGAAATGCAACAGTAAAGCTGCATAGGAGGAATTCACCAATCAAATTCATTTGGTTGCTCTCAATGGTATGCAGGGTAGGGGCTTTAGACTTCTGTTATACAGTTATACCCTTCTAAAACTGATGACTTATTGAGATCATTTTCGTATCAGACTCTCAGGCTGAAGCCAAATCACAAGCACCACTCAGCTCCGAGGCTGCCAGTCAACAAATGTCAACAATGGACTTCAAACACGGATTGGACACTGATGTGTTTCTTTTTTCTCCCTTCACCCAAGCTCACAAAGGGGTCCTTATAGGGGTCGACATTGCAGATGACCAACCCCAGGCCCCAGTCCCAGTCTCCGGTTTCTTGCAGTAGTGGAGTGGATCAGCCCGTGAAAAACCAGCACATCAAACAGGGCCGTGCTCGGCTCTGCTTAATGCGCTTTCCCCCTTGTTTGCCCCTGGGTCTGGGACTGGGCACAACATACACAACACGAGGGCATTTGGTACACGAGAGCCCTGTTACGTTGAACCACCAAAGATATCGCGCATGACCCCTCCGAGGAGTGGTGTTGATGAGTGCCACCATGCAACAAGACACCTTCCGCAGGCGCGCAGACGGGGGTTGGCGGCTCCGAAAAACGGGGGTTGGCGGCTCCGAAGCGGAGGAGGTCTGAGTCTTCGTTTGTATTTTTCAGAAGCCGCGGCGACCTGTGGATCGCTCATTGCAATGAGTAGGGTGTGGTAAAAATGCTTTGAGGACCACACACTTCAGAAGTCTGGTGAAGACAAATTTGCCTTGGCTCGTGAAGAGAGAACCACCGGCGATCGAGGCAAAACCCTACTTCGATGACCTTGTTAATAAGGAGCACTAAGATTTGTAAGGGTGTTGGGAGCTCTGCAGATATGACCCTATGAGCAGTCTCTACTGGGCTCTAGCATGACTGGTTAGTGAGTTTGCCTCAATTATAAGAAAAACCATTGTCTTCAATGTCCTATAGCCTATAATGAGCCTATAATATGTATATGTATTATACAATATGTTGTTTTGTTTCTTTCTTCTGAGAATTGACTAGTTGATGAGGCGAGTCATTAGCGATGTTGCACCACAGACAAAGCTACTGCTCTTGCAGCTGTCGCACTTGGTACCTTATATAATTCCCTTGTCAATGGTGCTCAAGAATAGCAACATGCCATCACGATTCAATCATAGATGATATCGATAGGTATCAATGATTAACCGCTATTCTGGTCGTGCGAAAGATGTGAATCCACCGTGAATCCACTGGGATCCACTGAAAAAGGATCCCTTGGTCCCTCGCTCAGGTATTTTGAGGCTTGCGCAGAGGTACAGATTCAGGGCCGGGTGCCCTGCGGGCCCTGTGGGCCGCGCCCATGAACCACTGAAACAGTTCAGGTGAAGAAGTAGCTGCAATCCGCCAGACTTTTTGCCTTCAAGAATAGTGAAGCCTCTCCAAATGTACATCCCAATTCCTCTCATCACCCTTCTTTGGTGTGTCTCTTCAGAAGACCAGGTGCTAAACTTTCCGTGTTTGAGCGACATCGAAACCACGCATCTTGGGGTTTTGCTCCATTCACATAGTTGATCGTTTACGTCCACGCAAACTTATCCACATGTCTCACCTGGGGCAACCAAAACGAATGCACTGAGCTGTCCGTTTCGCGTGGCCAGCTGTATCGGCTCCATCCACCATGGAGCGCAAGCCGCGGGGAGCCGCGCGGCTGCTTCCGCCACTCGCGCTGGGTGTGCTTGGGCTGCTTGCGCTGGGCGCCAGCTTTGTGGCACCGGCCAGAGGCTATTGGATGATGCGGGTCAAGAGTAGGGAGCTGATGTAGAGGTTGATATCGAAGCAAACTAGGCCGTGCCTGTGGGCCAAGGGTCACACATGACCATGGGGATGGAAACATTTGTGGAGTAAACTGCTTTGATCACTGGTGAGAGTAGTGGATCTCGACCATTGAGAGCTGTCAGACGATTCATGTGGACTGGATCATTAATTAGGAACTCTTTGCTGCCATTTCATGCCTCGTTTATTCAATCAGAAGACCCGCTCCCCAAGCACGTCTGCACGGCTGTGCAGGCCCTTTGCGCCCTGATGTGCCTGATGTGCGGGCATCGAACACGGTGGCACCTGTAGAGGGCGGATCATCGCAGGTGGGGCGCTGGAGGTTTTGCCAAGTTGCTTTCCAGATGGGCTTCATGATGAACATCCAAAGGGTCCAAAGCAGTTTTGATTCAACATGATTTAACTCTGGCTCACTTTCATTGAAATGGAAAAGACTCTATTTGTAAAGGGCTCCTTGAGTCCTAACATCGAGTCTACGTAGGTTGACGTTGAATCCATTTCTCAAAGATTTGTCTTGGCCCTTGAGGTGGTTTACGGTGTGGCTGCTCTCCTTGCGGGAGCAAGCGTACGCCTGTGCCGCTGGGTGGAAGGAGGGCTAAGTGGTGACCTTGGAAAAACTTCGAACTTCCTGCTTAGTTAAAGGATCACGGCCTGGTTTGTGCTTTTTGGGGGGCCACTGTGATATGTCTGAGGTGTCCCTCTTAAGTGGAAACTCTGAAGATCTTAGACCATGTTTCTGGAACTTCTAACCTGGCGATTTGCAAACGCTACACTCTGCTAGACTCCTAGACCTTTGATACATGATTTGAAAACGCGATCCAAAGCACCGATCTGAGTCAAGCCATCCAAGTCAAGGATCTGACAATTCCAAAGATCCCTATTTTTGGTGCCTAAGTCTGTTTATATAATAAGATTAGTTATGTCAGTATATATACACATGTTTGTATGAAGTAGTCCCCAAATAGATAAACATACGTTTGGGACACGTTTTCTCCGTGCGTAGGTCCATGTTTGACCTGATCGGAAGAAGGCCGTAGCAGGCCTGATCACCTGAACGTAACGTGGTTGTTTGAAAGGTTCCCTGTGCGTTTTCACACTACACCTACCCAAAAGCACTCTGCCGATGTGACTGGAGGCCGCGAACGCCCGGAGGGTCGTGAAGATCAGACGGCGCTGATGCGACGAGCAGAGGTGAAGAGTGAGGTGAACTATTTGGCACTGTTGACCAAGGGCGAAGCTCAGCAAATTGCTCTCTCTCTGTCTCTGTGTGTGTGTGTGTCATTGTGTGTCTTCTTCTCTTGGTGGGGAGCTGGCCATGTGTTTTAAAAGACCTGCTGTGAATCGCCCAAATCTAGTAAGCTCAGATGTGTGGTGCGAGAACTGCTGTTTCTTGGGGTTCGGAACCTTCCCCTACTAAAACTGGTAGAGGAAGCTTCGTCATTGGGAGGATCCAGAAGGCAATCAACAGATCTCGTGTGGTTTACTTATATAGAAGCTCGAAAGAGATTGCAACTGTTCGAAGTTACCCCTATGTACCCCATACCTCGTGGGACCTTCTACACTTCTCCTCGCGAAAACACCACCTGCTCGGCCCTGATCTTGGACATCTTGGACCACAAAGACACCTGGCAGGTTTGAGTATGCTTGAGACCAGGTGGTGGTGTCGAAATGTGAAAACATTGTTAATATGTTTATTTTCAAGCTTTACTTGGGATGGTTGAACCCGCTGACTAATGTTTATCAAGTGAGTTGAAGCCACCAACCCGAAGAGATCTGAGCACTGTGCAAGAAACGATAAGAAACGTCCCCCGGCGGTTAAACAACGCCACTGTGGATGTTTGGATCTCTTCCATGGCCAAGCAGCCGCTCAACTTGTCGCTTGATTGAAGTGGCTCAACTTGGCGGGCTGAGGATCTGCCCAAGCGAATTGCCATCGTCATCCTGCTGCTGGCGCTGGCAAGGGTGGTTTGTCTGATGTTTTGCTGGCGGGAGGAAGAGTTGGAGCCTTTAACAGGTGTGACCTACTTGGCTGGGCCAAACTCTGAAAGGGGACTCTCTATCAGCAAACTGCCTACGGGCGGTGGAAGTCCATTTATCAGATTCGTTGAAAGCATTTCTTGCACTTTGGGAATGGGCTGTGACTCCAAGCAGCCCACCGCTAGTCTTAGACATCGCTAGGCAATTGGACCATCCACGACTCCCGGTGACGGGTCGTTCAACCGTCGCCCGACGGTCGTCCCCCATGTCGCGAACGACCGGTCCACCAGGTAGGTCAACGACCGGTCGGTCTCCTGGTAGCTCCTTGTTCCTAGTAGCAATGCCAGGAGCCCCTAGTAGCGTCCTTGCTCCTAGTAGTAAGGCCAGGAGCCCCTAGTAGCGCTCCTAGTAGCGATGCCAGGAGCTAGTAGTAGCGATCCACTGCCATTGACCTTTTTTTCACACGTTTGAGTCTGAGCCCACGAGCCCCTTGCATCCCTTGCGGTGAGAACTGGATGCGACATGACGTTCGTCGTCACGTTACGTCCGGATGCGACATGGAGCGCCTGCTCGATGAAAAGAGCAAAGGAGCAGCCGTTGTATGCCAGGGCGGTGATGGTGTATGATGTGTATGCTTTTGCGTGTCTTCTCTTGAATCATATTGAATCTATATATTCATGCCAAGGGTTCATTTCGGCGGGTTCCAGCTCTTGGACATGTCGATGTTTTTGCGTGAAGAGGAGAGGTGTCTTTGTGACAGACGTGTTGCCCGAACTGAACCCCAAGTGTCACTCGATTGCTGAGAAGCACTTGCACAGCTGCACCAGTCATCACCAGTCTTGCATAACTCGCAGGGCAGCGAGCAGCCACAGAACTTGTTGAAGGACTCCAGGACTTGGCTTGCTGCTTGGGCAGAGACAAAGTGGCGAGTCTTTGTTCCATGGCACCAGCCTATCCAGTGCATCTGCCATCATTTCATTTGGCTTTGACCTTGTGAAGTCTGGCACGTCCTTTAGGATCTCTTTGCAGTAAGGGCCTTTACTCTGCCAAATGCAGCTCGAAATCACAGGTATGCCACAGACGACCAAGACGGCTTGTCTACTGGGTTTTTTGGCCTATGTCGAGTGGTGCTCAGGGCAAAGTCTATCTGACATCTGAAGGAGATGCAGTGCACCCGATCATCAACAGTGCCAACAAGATCCAACGAGATCCAACGAGTATGACTCGGTACTCAGCGATCGTATGGCAGCAGTAGGCACCTACAGAGAGTTGTGTTCGACGATTCTACCCTCGTCGATCTGCATGTGATGCTCGCGCAGCTCCGGCAGCTTTGGACGAGAACTCGGACGAGAATGGACAAAGACTCTGACAGTTCGGTGGAGCGCCCTTTTGACAACAGGTTTAAACATCTTTGGCACGGGCCCAAAGAAGGTCTGCAGGTGGTAAGGTATATTTGCATCAACTTGTGGCCCTTGGCTAGCAGTTGGGGTGCCGATTCCTGCACAGAATCAAGCATAACCACAGTGTGGACAGGCATTCAACTTATTTTTGAACATGCCATAACATGCCCCGCTTGAGCTGATCAGGTGGGCTTTTACATCCCACTCTACGGCTTTGATGTGGATGCCACCGAGGAGACCAGCCATTCACCGCGAGTGGTGCATCCTGGCAGGGGCGCGTTGATCGAATGTCGCCGTGTGAAGCGCACAGTGCACTCTCCCCCCACAAAGGCAGTTGCCCCTTTGTTAGAAAGAAGTGGTAAAGGAACTAAGAGGTGTTGGTTTGCTTGAGGTTCATTTCAGTTCGTTTTCCTTCCTGCGTTCCCACACCACCCTTATCATCACCACCATCACAATCATCATCATCATCATCATCATCATCATCATCATCATCATCATCAT